AAGGGCCCATAAGATCTGAATCACCTCTCATTATTGAAGGAAGTTCCGTACTTGTTCAGGTCAAGGACAAAGGCCTGTTAGAGGCATGTGATGCTGGGAATGGATGTAGGAAGGAGGATCCCAGGGCGATTGAAGGCCAGGGCAGAAGAGGGAGAGCAGTGGCTTTCTGGGTCTGGAGGCATGAGGACGCTGGTGGCTGACTGCAGTAAGGGAAGTGGGGCCATTACTGAGGGTCAGTGTGGCAAGTAGAGACCTAAACTAGTCACTGCTCAAAACTTCAGGCAGCCCTGAGGATGGCCACCAAGGGAATCTGAGCATTTAGACAGGCTATAAGCTCAGGCCAGTCACCAGCTGTACTCTCGGTTGTGTGGCAGTGCCATTGGGTAGCTATACCCTGCCATGTTGAGGCAGGTCATCCCTCTGGGTAGTAGTCTCTAGCCCGTCCCTTCTTTGCCAAGCCTGTACCTCTAAAGTTTTCACATTCTAAACTTAAGAAGGCTACCATTCCCACCAACCCAGAAACTATCAGGCAGGGGCAGGAAGACTGAAGCGACAGCCCCAAAGCAGAACAAGCTCCTGTTTCCAGGAACATATGGTGTTTTACAAGGAATGGAAGGAAGGAGGTGACTGGGGCCTCCGGGATAATGGGGGTTGGGGGAGTAAAGACAGTAAGTCCCCAGTCTCAAGAGCTGTCCTTGATGGCTTCCCCATTCCACCTGTGAACCATTTGCAAACCATGCCTGCTGCAGAGTCCAAGCTGACTCCAATACCCATCTTAAGTTCTGTCCACTCAGCCTGCTCATACTCATCCCAATTTCTCTGCCACTGGACCACCGCATGGGAACCACCCACCCCCCAGCAGCACGTTGAGGACACTTCTCTTGCCTTTTCATTCATTACTGGCACCATCCAATAAACAGGGAGGGCAGAAGGCTGCGGATGAGGGCGCGGATGACCCATGCTGTCAAAGCCCACCTGCCCTGTCTCCCTGAAGTCAGTCAGGCCCTGAGGTTCAGGCACCATCTAGGAAGTTATAAACACACGGATGCAGCTCACACCCAGCCAATGCCCCTTTCCAGGGTAGTGATGGTCATCCTTTGAGGCCTTACCATCTTTCTAGGAAACAAACTTACATCCTATGTGAATTGCAGAGGCATTTCCCATTTTCTTCATAACTTCCTACCTTCACTGCCTATCTAAAGCAGCCGCCGTTACTTGGAGCATTAATTTGCCATTGGTTCCTGGGGAACACAAACGCAGGGTAATCCTGACTCTAACCAGGCGGCTCCCACGGTGAGGAAGATGCTGCAGCAATGCCTTCTACCCAAGGTGAATGGAGGCACAGATAGGTGCACAGTCCAGAGTGATGACCAAGGGCTCTGGTTCTCAAGGACTGTCTGCTGGAGGCAACTGGTAGGATCCACCCCTTCCCTGAGTTCAGGACAGCTATCCACAGGGGTTCTGGGCAGAACAGAAAGGGCCAGGCACAGGCAGACAGCAGCGGTCTGCCTCTGAGCACCCTTGAGTCACTTTCACCCCTTCCTCAGGAGACCTTACAATGGAGATTGATACCCTGTTAGAAAAAAACAGTGCGGATGCATGTTTGCATTCTTTCCTTAGAATAGCTTTTCATCTTTCTGGGAGTGCTGTGGACATCTGGGGGAGCTGTAGGTGACAAAAAGCCATGGATGGACTCTCAGAAAAACGCGCCCCAATATCACACGTAGTTTTTCAGCTGCTCTGTGGGCCTCCTGCAGTCCTAGTCAGGTAGGCCCATCTTAGATCCAATAGCACCCCTGGGAGGAAGGCATCTACAGATGCAGAAACTGAGAGATTGGTTTCTAGGGTAACGTGGGATAAACACTTGGTCCTCCCACACAGGATCATTGCCCTAAGCTTGATTTTGGCGCCACAATGAAAAAGCCACCATCGCCCCAGTTTGGTCTCTGGCTATAGAAAGAAAGAACATTTGAGCTTAGGGCAGAAGCAGGTGCTTCTCTGCAGGGTCCTGGGCTGAGCCTGGACTCTCCTAGGGCCCCACCCCTTCCACTGACTCCCCCGCAGTCAAGCACAAAAGCAGAGTCCCCTGCTTCCCTCTGCCATCTACCCCCCTTGGGGCCAGGTGCACCAAAGAGAACCATGCTGTTCTACAAATTGATCCAGTGCTACTAGTACCTTCTGACTTACGGAACTTGAAAGACAGGAACAAGTCCCACATCCTGACTCATTCTGGTCAGGACCAGGCCCCAACTGCCTCTGCCCACAGCCTTCTCCTGGCCACAGACATCCAGTACAGAGCTTGGGAACCTGGTGGCTGCCCTCCATCTCTACTTCTGGCAACTGCGTGCACAGAGGTGAGGCAGAAAGAGGGCAAGGTGGGAGCCAGATAGGCCCAGAAAGAGCAGCAGAGACATGTGGGAAGCAGAGAGGGAAGGAAGAAGGGGAGGGTGAGTCAGAGGAAGCGGAAAGGGGGGGAGGGTAAGGGGGAGGAGGAGGAAGAGGAAGAGGAAGAGGAGGAGGGGGGAGGGCAGCAAAGGTAAGCAGGGCAAGAAAGAAACCCAGGAGCTTGTCATCTGGGGGACCAGAGTGGATCCCCTGCACGTACTTCCATGAGGAAGGTGGGGTTCTGGGGCCTTCAGGGGACTGGAAGACTCCCTACTGGCTCCTGTGTGTTTGTATTCTAAAGACCCTCAACACAGGCTCATCAGGTGTCTCCACATGTGACATTCTAGACCATTCCCCAGCACTAGGCCTCTTTTCTCAGTAGTAAGAACATATTCTCAAAGACGCAGACCTCCCTGTGCACCTAGCATTTCCCCCATTACCTCTGGAGGCAGGACCCAACTCCCCACTCTGCCCTGCCCAGCTAGATCCATCATTCATAGAGGACCTCTTACTAGAAATGTCCCTTCCTTTCCTTCCCTGTAGCATATGGCCTTAGATGCCCCCCAGTACCCCCAATGTCCCAACCTGAAGAGGAGCCAGAGAGAGGACTGTCTTAGCAGGTGGAAGTGATTCAAAAGGAAAAATAAAGAGAGAAATGTGTAGTAATGACTCCCTGGACTGCAGATCAAATGGCAAGTGAGGAAGGAAGAGGAGGGAGGCGATGGAAGGAGACGGCAAAGGACAGGCCCAGGGCTGCTCGATGGCCGCTGGCTTAGTGAGTCCATGAGCACATGGAGGGAGGGACCAAGGAAGTCATCTAGCAGAGTCTGGCTTCCCCGCAATCACAGCGCCGGAGGGTCTGACCCAAGCTTGAGGCCTACGCCCTGACAAGCGAGCCGGGCCAGTGGACACTTACACACAGACGTCTTCTGGTTATCTTTGCTGGGCATCAGCTTCACACCTCGAGACTTCAGTTCAATCTGCTTCTTGACTAGAGAGGCCAAAAGAGGAAAGACGGTTAAAGATGTTGTCTGTGATGAGTTCCTGTAGAATGAGGCACGTCCAACTTTTTGATATTGCAGTACAACGGGGTCTACCTACTAAGTTTCCACTCAAGAAATAGGGGATTGAGTTAAAACAACAACAGCAATAAAAGTCTCATAATGTTTAAGTAAGCTTAGGATTTTGTGTTGGGCTGCATTCACAGCTATCCCGGGCTGCACGTGGTTGGTCCAGAGGCCACAGGTTGGACACACCAGCAAGTGAGATTGATCCTCTCCCTTGGCTTAGGACAGTCCATGGTGGGAGGCTTTCTGGATAGGAACATCACAAAAGTAGCAGTCAAGAGTGGCAGGCTCCTTACTGTGAAGCACTAGCTGTCTGGGGGAGGTAGGAAAGGTGTTGCTTTCCCACCTGGTGGTATCTGAGGAATTCTGGGACTTGTCCAGGCCTCTTCTGAGTGTGAGGTTTCACTATTGGAACTACTGAGTTCAGCCTGCTCCTCAGGGAACCTGTTGTGAGCAGCATCCTCCCATAGCTCTGCAGTCTGCTAAGTTTAGACCTACAGCATTCCATCACAGCTATGTACTAAGGGCTCAGTTACTAGCTGACAACTTAGTGGAAGGAGGTTAGGTCATTAAACATGTATCCTGGAAAGGGACGTTTGGATCCCAGACCAGTTCTTTCTCTTTTTGCTTCGCAGCTGTAGGTAGGTGAACAATTTCTACCAGGGGCTCCTACCATGATATACTGTGTTGTCACAGGCCCAAAGCAATAGGGCCAGGCACCAGCAGACTGATAACCTCTGAAACCATGAGCCCAAACAAATCTTTCCTCTTTTTATTTATTTTATTTTATGTATTTGAGTGTATTGTCCGCATGTATGTAAGTGCACGCATGTCTTACAATCCCTGTGGAGGTTAGAAGAGGGTGTCAGGTCACCTGTAACTGGAGGCATGGACCTTGTTAGCCACCATGTGGGTGCTGGGAACTGAACATAGGTCCTCTGCAAGAGCAGTCAGTGCTCCTAACCACTGAGACATCTTTCTAGCTCCCCTTTCCTCTTTTCAGGGTGATTCTTCCCTCTGCCCAGTTTCTGAGCCAGCCCTGACAGGAATGACAAACTCAAATTGTCACCATTTCCCATATCCATACCCTTTGTGATACAATTTCCATGTATGTGTGGTACTAGGAATTGAACCCGGGGCCTCATGTATGTCAGGCAAACACTCTACCACTGAGCTATCAGCCCTGTGATAATGATTTTTATGGTTCTTCCCATTGCAGAGGTGAGGTATATTTTCCCTCCTGCCCCTTGACCTTCAGTTTAGTCACTGGAAACTTTAGAGGCCTTGAAAGGCACCTGCCAGATTAGGCTTGCCTCTTGCATCTTCACCATCATGAGAAGACACGGCTGCTCTCAGAGGATAGAGACGCGTAGTACCCTAGAACCAACAGGCCTATCCAGACCCAACCTGTATCAGTTGACTTGGGAACAGGGGAAGCTGATCCCTGGGGGACTGTATTTGGGTGGCTGCCTGATGGATGGTTAGCCTTTCCTTTATCTATTCCACAGCTCCTCAGGACTTTGTGGAACTACACCCAAAGGGTAGCAATCTGGAGCTCTCTGATTACAGAGGCCGTCCTTTCTACCCACCTGCCTCCTTTGGTCTGACCACTCCTATTCCCCAGGACGTTCTTCTGGCCACTGAAGACTTCATCTCATCTTTGGTTATAAACCTTGGCCCATCTGTTCAATTCCAGATCCCTGTGCACCATCCCAGTTGGCCTCTGCCTGCTGACGCTGCCCTACTAAGGTTGATGTACAGCAACAGTAACAGCTGTGACTAGGTACTTGCTGTGTGCTAGGCCCTGGGTATTTTACGAGTTCTTTACTGAAATTGGCTCTTTCCCCCCGACCCACAAAACCACACACAATGCCTCAGTAAATCCTTCCAAATATAAGCCTGATGCAACCACTTCTTAAAATCTCCATGTCTAGCCCCCCTGGTTCAAGTTGCTGATGTTTCTTCCCTAGTTGGCCGGCCTCCCACCTTCCTCCCTTGGCCCTGGGGAAGTCTGCTCTCAGCACAAGAGTCAGAGGACTCTTTTTGCAAAGCATAGCTCAGACCACACTACACCCCTGCTCGGAGCTCTTTGATGTCAACCTGCTTTCCTGAAGCATGAGCTGGAGTCTGTAAAATGGCCCATGAGGACAAATCTGCTCTCCCCGTGAGCCCTCTTGGGCCTCTCCTTGACCTCCATCACTCATGTCCAACTTTACAGTCCTCCTTGAGGTTGCCAGGCATATTGCTTTGACTGTCGGTTCCCTAGATCGCTTTCCCCAAAATATCTCTGTGACTTGCTCCCTTTTTCTCTACAAGCAATTGGACAAAACTCTTTTCCTTGCTGAGCCCTCCCTAAGCACACCATTAAAATGGCACCTCCAGCCCCAGCTCTCCTGCCCCTCTCGGCTTCTTCTCTCCAGCTGTGTAGCATACGATCTCATTTACGAGGCTTTTTTTTTTTTAAGCTCTGGTTGGCTTGCAATTTGCTATGGAGACCAGGGTGGCCTCGAATTCACAGAGATCTGCCTGCTTCTGCCCCTGGAGTGCCACAATTAAAGGCATGAGCCACCCATATCTGGCTCATTTACAAGGCTTACTGCGTCAAGGTAAGACTTCCTGTTCACTGCTGTATCCCCAGTGCCTAAAACCACTGCTTCAAGCACAGTGGGGCTCCAGGAATCATGTCAACGTGTCCTTAAGGTTCCAGTACCCTTGATTGGTAGTTATTATGCTTACTAGATAGAAAACACAATTGGGGCTCAAGGAGGGTCAGGTGACTAGTGTTAGGACACAGATGAACCTCAGATTTTCTGTAACCAGCCCCGTGAGCAAATCCAAGGGAATGGTACACCTTCCCTGGCCTTTTCCTGTCCCCAGTTCAGGGCTGAAGATTCAGGCATTCACTCAGGATTGTACGAAACATGTCACTCCCCAAACCAAAATCCACAGTGATCGGGTGTATGTGAGGGGGTTGCCCAGTTCCCCTACCTTTTGCTAAATAAAGAAAAACAACAACTGAAGATTTAGCCCTCTTAGAAGTCACTGTCTATGCTGAACACCTGATGAAATTCGGTTACTACCACACAGCTCCATCCTCCCTCCGCGCACTGGAACGTCCTTTATAAATGTGCATTGCTCTCTGTGTGTATCCAGCAGGAAAATTTCCAATGAACACTAACATGGGCACATTATCAAACAGAGGGCATTAGCAGGGAAACATGCATTATTCAAGGCAAGCTAACATGGTATGACAGGGATTCAGCCATCCCCAGGAGAAGCAGAGCTGTCTGAGCACCGTGAGGAACGTGGAGCTCCTGTCCTCAAGGCCCCAGGGCAGCAAGGGGAGTGTGGGGGTCTCAGGTCCCCTACAGCTCATCTGAGGCAGGTCTAAAGAGCAGGCTCACTACGCCTGGCCAAGAGGTAAGGGTGGAACTGCAGGATTTTCATGGACTCCCATCTCCAGCTCTAGTGTCCACTGGAGGGAGGGGTTGAGGATGGGAACAGAGAACCGTGGACACTCTTCCACTCTTCCCAGGGGCACGTGCCCCTTGGGTTTCCTGTGGAGCTGTTGATGTGGACAGGAGTAGTGTGAACAGGAGGAGAGGTTCCGCTAAGATGGCCCCTCTTCCTCCCTTCTGAAAGACAGAAGAGGAAAAGCCTCCCTCCCTCCTCCCTCCCGAGACCCCAGAAGAACTCCTGGTTTCGAGGTCCATCCTCTCCACTCATTTCTGCCCCAAAGGGCTGTCTAACCCTAAGGATCTGTGCCTAGTAGCCTATGTGCAGCATTCAGTAGTGGATGACATCATCCCACAGCCCCTGACGACACTTACTTCCCTTCTTCCCCTTTTGTTCCTGATACTTTTACTGTGTGATAGAGTTTGCCAAGGTGATGAGAGCTAAATGAGAAGGCATCTGCTAATACATGTATAAACCTTATTACTGTTTACTCCTTAGAGGTTGGCCTCCACATCTGCATGATCCATGATGCTTTTGGGCATGGTGAGGTCATCAGACACACATTAGAATCCATGGTTGGCAGGGGAGTGGAGACTGGAGAGATGGCTCAGTGGTTAAGAGCACCGGCTGCTCTTGCAGAGGACCCGGGTTCAGTTCCCAGCACTCACATGGTGGCTAATAACCATTCCTAACTCCAGTTCCAGGGGATCCTAGGCCTTCTTATGACTTGTGTGGGCACTGAATGACATGGGTGTACTTTCACACATGTTAGCAAAACACTCATACACACAAAATTTTAAAATACATATTTTTAGAAAAAAACTCATGGGTGGAATTTGTATCCTCATCATGTTATCCTGGGAAGTACAGGGGTCACAATTCTCTGAGACGGCATTCTCACTCCAGCCATACCATCCCTAAAGAACGCCCATCCAGGCCAGCTGGCCCAGGCCTGGGCTCTGGGGAAGTGAAGCCTGCAGTTGGCCCACGTTGTGTGGAAACTGATGAATGGAATGGATCAGTGTTACAGCTTGAACATGAAATGCCCCTGGGCAGGGCTCATGTGTTTGAAGTCTAGGTTTCCAGCTGGTGGTGTTATTTTGGAGAGCGTGTGTGCTGGAGACTAAGAGGAGAGTTGAACTGGAGAAAGTAGGCAATGGGGCGCCTCCGTGGGGTCTGTACCTTGCCTTGAACCTTTCCTGTCTCTCTGCTTCCTGTCCACCATGAGGTGGGTGGCTTTGCTGCACGTTTTCCCCAACATGATGGCCAGCTTCATCTCAAGCAATGGAGCCAATCGATCATGGGCTGAAGCCTCTGAACAGTGAGCGAAAATAAAGCTTCTCCCTTCAATCGATTTTGTCAGGTATTTTGTTTCAGCAACAAAAATTTAACAGAAAATGGTTCCGGAGAAGTGGAGTTGTTGCTGTGACTATTTGATAATGGGGTTCAGAAGCCTACAGAACAGGAT